TAGGTGATGCTGTAAATATGGGATCTGGACAAACGAGGTGATGCTGTATTTAAGGGATCTGGACAAACGAGGTGATGCTGTATATAAGGGATCTGTACAAACCAGGTGATGATGTACATAAAGGATCTGGACAAACGAGGTGATGCTGCATATAAGGGATCTGGACAAACGAAGTGATGCTGTATATATGGTATCTGTACAAACGAGGTGATGATGTATGTAAGGATCTGGACAAACGAGGTGATGCTGTATATAAGGGATCTGGACAAACGATGTAATGCTGTTTATAAGGGATCTGGACAAACGAGGCGATGCTGTATATATGAAATCTGGATAAACGAGGTGATGATGTATTTAAGGGATCTGAACAAACGAGGTGATGTTGTATATAAGGGATGTGGACAAACGAGGTGATGCTGTATATAAAGGATCTGGACAAACGAGGTGATGCTGTATATATGGGATCTGGACAAACGAGGTGATGTTGTATTTAAGGGATCTGGACAAACGAGGTGATGCTGTATATAAGGGATCTGTACAAACGAGGTGATGCTGTATTTAAGAGATCTGGACAAACGAGGTGATGCTGCATATAAGGGATGTGGACAAACAAGGTGATGCTGTATATATGGTATCTGTACAAACGAGGTGATGATGTATATAAGGGATCTGGACAAACGAGGTGATGATGTATATAAGGGATCTGGACAAACGCTGTGATGCTGTATATAAGGGATCAGGACAAACGAGGCGATGCTATATATGAGAGATATGGACAAACGAAGTGATGCTGTATATAAGGGATCTGGACAAACGAGGTGATGCTGTGTCTAAGGGATCCGGACAAACGAGGTGATGCTGTATATAAGGGATCCGGACAAACGAGATGATGTTGTATTTAAGGGATCTGGACAAACGAGGTGATGCTGTATATAAGGGATCTGTACAAACGAGGTGATGCTGTATTTAAGAGATCTGGACAAACGAGGTGATGCTGCATATAAGGGATGTGGACAAACAAGGTGATGCTGTATATATGGTATCTGTACAAACGAGGTGATGATGTATATAAGGGATCTGGACAAACGAGGTGATGATGTATATAAGGGATCTGTACAAACGAGGTGATGCTGTATATAAGGGATCAGGACAAACGAGGCGATGCTATATATGAGAGATATGGACAAACGAAGTGATGCTGTATATAAGGGATCTGGACAAACGAGGTGATGCTGTGTCTAAGGGATCCGGACAAACGAGGTGATGCTGTATATAAGGGATCAGGACAAACGAGGCGATGCTATATATGAGAGATATGGACAAACGAAGTGATGCTGTATATAAGGGATCTGGACAAACGAGGTGATGCTGTGTCTAAGGGATCCGGACAAACGAGGTGATGCTGTATATATGGGATCTGGACAAACGAGGTGATGTTGTATTTAAGGGATCTGGACAAACGAGGTGATGCTGTATATAAGGGATCTGTACAAACGAGGTGATGCTGTATATATGGTATCTGTACAAACGAGGTGATGATGTATATAAGGGATGTGGACAAACGAGGTGATGATGTATATAAGGGATCTGGACAAACGCTGTGATGCTGTATATAAGGGATTTGGACAAACGATGTGATACTGTATATAAGGGATCTGGACAAACGGGCTGATGCTGTATATGAGAGATATGGACAAACGAGGTGATGTTGTATATAAGGGATCTGGACAAACGAGGTGATGCTGTATATAAGGGATCCGGACAAACGAGGTGATGTTGTATACATGGGATCTGGACAAACGAGCTGATGCTGTATATATGGGATGTGGACAAACGAGGTGATGCTGTATATATGGGATCTGGACAAACGAGGTGATGCTGTATTTAAGGGATCTGGACAAACGAGGTGATGCTGTATATAAGGGATCTGAACAAACGAGGTGATGCTGTATTTAAGGGATCTGGACATACGAGGTGATACTGTATATAACGGATCCCGACAAAGGAGGTGACACTGTGTATAACGGATCCGGACAAACGAGGTGACACTGTATTTCTTGGATCCGGACAAACGGGGTGACACTGTATATTACGGATCTGGAAAAATGAGGTGACACTGTTTACAACAGATCCGGACAAACGGGGTGACACTGTATATTACGGATCTGGAAAAATGAGGTGACACTGTTTACAACGGAACCGGACAAACGGGGTGACACTGTATATTACGAATCCGAACAAACGAGGTGACACTGTATATTACGGATGTGGAAAAATGAGGTGACACTGTTTACAACGGATCCGGACAAACGGGGAGACACTGTATATTACAGATCCGGACAAAAGAGGTGACACTGTATATAACGAATACGGAAAAAACAGGTAGCACTATATGCAATTGATCCCAGACAAATGAGGTGACATTGTGTATAGCGGATCTGGACATATGAAGTCAGACTGCATATGAGAGATCTGGACAAACAAGCTTGCACTGAATAATACGGATCCGGACAAACGAGGTTACACTATATATAGTGGATCTGTACAAATGATGTGACACTGTATATAACAAGTCCTGGAGAAAAGGTGACACTGTATGTCAGGGATCTGGACAAACGAGGTTGCACAATAAAATTGATTCGGACATATGAGGTGACACTGTATAAAGCGGACCCGGACAAACCATTTGATGCAGTATATAACGGATCCGGACAAACGAGGTGATGTTTTATGTAAGCGATCTAGACAGACTAGGCTGCACTATTTATAACTGATCGAGACTAAAATATGACACTGTATATAACGGATCCGGACAAACGAGGTTGCACTATATATAATGGATCTGTACAAATGATGTGACACTGAATATAACGAGTCCGGGAAAAAAGGGTGACACTGTATGTCAGGGATCTGGACAAACGAGGTTGCACTATAAGATTGATTCGGACATATGAGGTGACACTGTATATAACGGATCCGGATAAACGAGGTAACACGGTATATAACGGATCAATCAATATGTAATTTGACTGTGGGACGTGATTTTCCTGTTTCTCTTCCCAAAGTATGATGGTGTTTCATGCAAAGATACGATAACAACTGTAGCCCTTCAAGTGTCCTAACAATTATGATATCAATGGCATACTATAAATACACGAGTATCTCTGTGTTTTAAACCCATCGTCAAACTCTACACTATATAATTTTGTTTGTTGAAAGCAAATGTGTTCCGCGATACTTCCACGAAAAAAACATTAATAATCATTAAAAAAATAATTAGAAAAATAATTTAACAGTCAAAGCATGTGAGCATAAATATTTTGATTATCAACACAACACGTTTAGATAAAGAGTCTCATTTAACGAGGTAAAGTACTGTCCGGAATAACGAAGTCTTGATAAACGAGATCCGACATTATGAAATGGCATGGTACTACTTCCTCGGGGTGTCAATGCATGAACCAACCACATCAGTCCAGCTGGCTGCAGCAGTGGAGGTGTCGGTCCATGTAACAGACAGCACTTAATCCTCGCTGTACTTTAACATGGCTGGTTGATATTCATTCTGAAAATAAACAGGTCAGAAAAACAGTGAGTGAGCAAGTCGGCTTTAACGCCGCTTTGAACAGTATTCCAGTTATACCACGGCGTGACAGAGTAATATGGGAGGAGAGCCCGAAGTGATGCAGGTATCCGACGTTTACCACTTTGGTGAAACCCACGAGCACGGGTATGGTGCTGGCAAACCTAGAAACGGATCAATAACCTGGAAAGATAATCGGGACGAACAGGGATTCGAACCGACGATTACATGTTTACAGAGGGACGCAAGTCTGTATATAATATGTGTACAATCAGAAGAACAGGGTGGTTTTCGATAAACACACAGTATTTCAGTTATATTTCTCCTTATCAGCTTTATTTAAGAGAAAAGGCCGGAGTGGGAGTGGTCATGCCGTTTTCGTGACACCATCGATCGTGACAAACATAGAACAATTATCGGGTTTAATCTTGGATTCGTACCCAGTCATAGGTTCCTGGTAAGGCGCCTAATTCGGGCAATCCGTGATTCAAGTCCACGACCATCGGACCCTGGTGCTACTGCTGTAGAGTCTCACATGGTGGGACTTCCGAGTTGATATAGGTCCCCATCAAACTATGCTGGTCAGTAGAGCCTATCTGGTGGTCGATGGCATGGCGCTCATTATATCAGTCGTTGGTTTGTCTGGTCCAGATTTCATCATTTACTGGCCGCGTGGACATGGCTGGAATATTGCTCAGTGAAGCGTTAACTCGAGATTCGTTATTTAAGAATCAACAATTGTACAGCTCAACAAATACAGACCAGTGAAGAGCCAGGGTAGAATAGATCTTCAGTATTCCATGATTGCCGTAAAAGGCGACTGTGCTTGCCGTAAGAGGCGACTAACGGGATCAGGTGGTCAGGTTCTCTGACATGGTTGATGTATGTCATCGTATCCTTATTGCGTCGATGCTAATGATCATGATATTAATCACTGGATTGTCTGGTCCAGACTCGATTATGTACAGACCGCCGTCATATACCTGGAATATTACTGAGTGCGGCGGTAAACAACAAACTAAACAAATATAAGCCTTGTGATTAGAGTGTTATATTATTCAACCGATCCCAGTTTTAGTGCCTACGGAACAGTTGTATAGATATAAAAAAAACATGGGCGTCTAAATGGACTCTTGACACATAGTCCTCCAAACTCATCACTGAAGCCGGATGTGGAGAAGGTTTTAAACAATGGAGGTAAAGCGTGATAATGATTTTAACACTCGGAGGCTATCGTGGATACATACAACTGACACACCCTTCACAGAATTAGACAATAGAACATGGTGGGTGAAAATATTGCTTGACGCAGCATCAGCAACCCGGCAGCCATGCGTGGCGACCAAAGTGACGGAAAACTATTACACGATGTGTACCCATCAGTTCGTCAGCTGGTTATCGACGTTTAAAAAATGCATTTCTGTACCTATAAATGTCGACCATCACTGATGCATGTTATATGTTCATCATGACGTGCATGATGCTGTGGTCGGTTCTGCTGGCGGTGACGGTAACGTCTGTGGTCGGCTACAATGACAGAGTGCGATACAACATCAACACTCAGGTGAGTTTGGACAGAGAATCTTTACTTAGTGTTTATGTAAAGGAAAGCAATTGGCGTGCATTATCTGTCATACTTATTTACAGTAACACTTTATATCAAGAAAAACAGTTGATCGTGAAATATTAGCTATCGTCGCTATAATGAGCTATCGTCGTATAGCCTAAACACCACTCCCATAATTTTGAATTTGAATAAACTGAGAGGCAAAATAAACTATACCTGTTGAATTTGAAGTTGAATTTATAATTTGTTTCATTTTCAATTTAAAATGTCTTAAGTTAGCGATATTATAACCAAAACGTTAATTGTACTGGCGCTTAATCAGCACTCAAAGAATAATTCTACTTGGTATAATTTTCTAAAATTTAATTTGACTTACAGTAATTAAATCTTCCCTTTGTGAAAAAGACAACTGACAAATTCTAAGGTTTGTGTTTCTTTACTTGTATTATATATCCTCATCACAATGGTACAGTTCTTCCACAATTTTACATTAATATTTCATTTGACAAAAATTTAAATTATGCAGTTGTAGATACTGTAGATCCGTGATCTCAATGGAACGATGCTCGTTATACCCATCACTCGTTTGTTTGCCAGTCAAGATGCGATTGTTAACAGGCCGCTGTGGTGCAGCGGGATTATTATTGAAAACAGTAAACATGCCACAATGATCGGGGTCATGGTCATGATTTGATTTGTTTGTTTGTTTGTTTGTTGTTTAACGCCGCACTCAGCAATATTCAAGCTATATGACGGCGGTCTGTAAATAACCGAGTGAGTGAGTGAGTGAGTATGGTTTTACGCCGCTTTTAGCAATATTCCAGCAATATCACGGCGGGGTACACCAGAAATGGGCTTCACACATTGTACCCATGTCGGGAATCGATCCCGGGTCTTCGGCGTGACGAGCTAACGCTTTAACCACTAGGCTACCCGACCGCCCCGTAAATAACCGAGTCTGAACCAGACAATCCAATGATTGACATCGTTAGCATTCATCCACGCAATTGGAATACGATGACATGCATCAACCAAGTCAGCGAGCCTGACCACCCGATCCCGTTAGTCGCCTCTTACGACAAGCACAGTCGCCTTTTACGGCAAGCATAGGTTGCTGAAGACCTATTATACACCGGATCTTCACGGGTCGAATGTCCTCATTCAAAGTTGAAGAATAACGACATTGATGGCAATAGGAACACCTCGCGTGACTTGGATCTGTCTGTGTCATCGTATCTCGATACATTCGCCCTTTTTATTTAATTTTATTTATTTTATTGACAGATAAAGCAAATATGTAAACCCCTAATGCAGTGACGTTTACACTTTGCCTACAGAGGTAGCGATATATTGGGCGTGATATTTCTGACAACAGGTTCAAACTTTGTTTAAACTTTCTGTGAAGAATATCTCATTTTTGTGTATCTTTCAATGAAAGTGACACAAGAGAATGATTGAAAGTCTTTGACATTTTGATTCACAGGCCAAATGTACCGAGGTGACAAGACGCGCTACCCGTAACTGTATTTGGCCGGCTGGACTCAACCCCTTTGCTGACCAGATAGCTGAGAAAGGTCGGATTATGGCCTACAAGATACGGTGGTTCAATGGACACTGGTCTGGCTGGTACGTCCCCGGCTACAACGACATTGACGGGAAGTTCAACCCCTATCCTCGACGTTGTACTGCGTTGCCCTACTTGCGAAACACGATGAGAAGGATGTGGTCGTATTTCTACGATCACACACACAAATTCATCATCTGTAAAGCAAAATAACTTGTGAAGATCATGTATCTGACCTTGTTCACAACATGATAATAAACGCAGTTAAAACATACTCTATGTTGTTTAATATGTTCAACAACTCTCATTTCATCCAATACATTACGTCCCTGTGGGGACCCGGGGAAGATAAACAAGAATGAGTCCTCAGCACCCCTTTGCTGGTCGTAAAAGGCGACCGAATTGGGCAGTCTGTTTGCCGTGGGGTGCGACCCTGTGTCGGCCGAGGACGGGATTCTGGTGGGTTAGGGCACGTGAGTCAGGAACCGATGTTCCTTTTGCCCAGCACATCACTTTGACCCTTACTTCGCCTAGACAGGTGGTAGGATGGGTCCGGTCCTATCAATCGGCTGGTCATGCCGAGCCCTGTGCGTAGAATTATTACTGCACATCTTTGGTTTTTCAAAAATGTATTTTTTTGGACTTGGATGACACAAGTATACTTATATTATTGATATACTTAATTGCCTAAAGTCGTATGCCAGAAGCGAGGGCTCATGGGCCAATGTGGTGATAGAGACCTCTTAATTCTGTGTTTCTTGGGAGAAGTGTTATGGGCAAAACCAGCCGGACACTTCTTCATTTGGATGTCATAGCTATTCAAGTCGATATTTACTAGAGTATAACACACCTGTACCCTTGGTGTTGCAGGCTGGCTTCCACAGCAATATCGTATTTGTTGACACTCGGTGGCGGGTGGGGAGCAGGGGTGCTGAACCATATTATCCCACCATGTCTCAAACAAACATTTCTGGTTCTAGCAAGACGAACAAACGTCGACATATAGAGTTAACGTCGTCAGATGATGAAGTTTAGCCTGAAGTTAAGGATGCTTGGCCCAGGTTTATTGTTATATCACTTCTGATGGACTTCCATTAAAATTGAATCCGTTCGCCATCTCCAAGAGCATTCAAAGTGCCAGCGGAGAAGTGGAAAACGTAACGCGCCTTCAGACTGGTTCCATCCTCGTGGAATGTGCACGGAGGCAGCAATCTGTCAATCTGCTGGGTTTACAGCAGTTTGTTAATACTCAGGTTGTTGTTTCCGTGCACAGGACACTGAACGCAAGCAGAGCCATCGTCAGAGACCTAGCTCGTCGTCTTTCTGACATGAGCGAGGGAGAGATTGCCGCTGAACTTAAAAGCCAAGGAGTCACCATTCTTAAACATTTTATAAGGAAAACACATGAAGGCAATATTGTCAATACTTAAACATAGCTTTTCACCTTCTCTCTACCAAAATCCCTAATTCAATAAAAGCTGGCTACTTCAACATCAGAGTGGAGGTTTATGTTCCACATCTGCTTCGATGTTTCAAATGTCGAAAGTTTCGTCATCGAGCCAAATTCTGCCGTGGCAAGGAGGTCTTGTGCTGCCATTGCAGTGGAGCTCATGAAAGGTTAGAGTGCACGAATGACATGAAGCGTTCCAACTGCGATGGAGAGCATATGGCTTCCTCCAAATCCTGTATTTCTTTTGAATTTGAGTAAAAAATCGTGAACATGGAAGCAAAACAATTAGTCCCATCTGCACCTCAAACTCCTTCTATAAAAAACATACTCAGCAGCAATTTCTTCCCCAAATCCAGTTACTAAACCCTCTACTATGTCTATTTCCTGCCAAACTGACATCTCGTGGATCAAGGCTGACCAGGATTTCTTGATGTTACAACTCCAAACTCCCAAAGTGATCCTTTGATGTCAACGTCCTCATCTCAGACAGAACCACAAACAATCGTCGACAGCCAACCAGTGGGCGTAGCTCACTTAACAAAAAAGTGAGAAAAAAAAACTACGAAGAACCAGGGCACTCCAGCACACGGATGTGCCTTCTGTTACAACCTCTGTTGAGGTTCATAACCCCTATGCACCTCTGGAGATGGATGTCACTCCCACACAACTAGTCCATGGGAGTGGACACTCCTCCCGCTCACGATCCCCGGTTGAGCCGCCATGAGCTGCTCAAGTCAAATCCTTCAATGGAATTGCAGAGGACTACAGAATAATTATAATGATATCCAATTATTACTTCAAGATTTTCAACCATCAGCATTATGTCTTCAGGAAACATACTTGAAAACTACCGATCAAATTGACATAAGAGGCTATACTTCCTACCATTTCTTTTCTCCCCCGGGGGCTAAGGCCACTGGAGGTTCTTCAGTATTAGTAAAGCAAGGTGTTCTTCACAGCCCAGTTCCCCTTTATACCCCTCTTCAGGCTCTTGCGGTTCGTGTGCAAACTGATCTCCAAGCCCTTTATGACCAACTACCAAAGCCCTGCGTCATCATGGGTGATTTAAATAGGCATAATCCCTTATGGGGCAGTGCGCATACCAACACTAAAGGAAAGCTGCTGGAAGATTTTATGTCAAATAATGATTTATGTGTTTCCAACGATAGTTCCAAAACATATCTTCGTCCTGGTACTGAGACATACTCGTTCATTGATTTGTCAATTTCATATTCAGATTTGCTTAATGAGTTTGAGTGGTCAGTCCACAACGACCTCTGTGGTAGTGACCATTCTACCATTCTAAAGACTGTGACCCCATCTGACGTTCCTCCATCATCACGATGGAATTTCCAAAAGGTTAACTGACCTTTGTATGAAACTCTTTGTGCAAACCAACTTAAACCTGAATTGTTTCTTTTATGTTTATGTTTATTGTAAATTGTTTCTTGATGTTCCTGACCCTATCACATGTTACTCTGATGCACTCCATAATATAGCTGATGAATGCATTCCAAAGTCCTCTGCAAATCCACACATCCATAAACCATGGTTTAATGATACTTGCAAACAAGCTAGGAAGGCGTGGAAGAAGGCTGAGAATTATTTCCATCGTCATCCTATGGTTCATGATTTAAATAAATTCAAAATCATAAATGCCAAAGCACGACGGACATTTAAACAAAATAAACGCATGGCTTGGCAAGCTTGCGTTTCAAAACTAAATTCACGTACACCAATATCCAAGGTATGGAACATGATTTAAATAATCAAAGGGAAGGGATCTAAATCTGGTATCCACTATCTTCAAAATTGGAATGAGTTGTTAACTGATAAATCCGATATTGCTATTAAACTTGGTGAAACTTTAGCTAAACATCCTTCCTCATCTAACTATGTTCCTCAATGCCAGAAGTACCAAAAACAGCAGGAAAAGAAACTATTAATTTTAATTCAGATTATAATGAAGTATTTTTCTCTTCATGAGCTCCATACTGCCCTTGGGCAAGCCAACGATACTGCTTCAGGCGCTGATAATATAAACTGACGTCCAAAAGAAACTTTACCGACTGAAAATATATATTTCAGACAAAGTATAATTTTGTTTTCGATGAAGTCTATCAAAAACATATAACCTAAATACAACAATAGTGTATGCAGAAAATGTTAATCGTCTGTTACATGTTTGCGAGATAACACGCGAAAAAGTGAAAAACACGTGCACCACGGACAACTGCAAATGCACGTGCGGGTAAGGGTATAAAACGATTGCAACAGCAAGTCAGACATCCACAGTTATAAAAAAAAAACACACAAAAAATGCCACGACTCACAGTCGAACAACGTGAACGAGCCTTGGGTATGGTACAGATGGGAGCTAACCACGACCACATTGCATGAACCTTCGGTTGCTCCCGTGTTGCCGTTACCAACTTGATGCAACGTTACAGACAGACAGGGCGGACCACTGACAGGCCAAGAATAGGCAGACCCAGGGTGACCACCCCCATGATGACCGGTACTTGCGTACCTTGCACCTCCGAAATCGCTTCCTGACAGTGACGTCATCGGCGACAAATGCCTTAGGTCACAGGGTTAGTCGACAGACAGTGGCCAGGAGACTCAGGGCTCATGGAATCAGGGCTGTTAGACCATACAGGGGACAGCTATTGACAGCGCAACATCGTCGTCTGCGATTGAGATGGGCCCGGACTGTACGACGTTGGCAACGACGTGACTGGCAGAGGGTTGTCTTCACTGACGAAATTCGATTCTGTATGTTTAGGGCTGATGTTTACCGCCGAAGGGGTGAACGAACGGCGGCGAGTTGCGTGCAGGAGGTCGTACCATATGGTGGAGAGAGTGTCATGGTGTGGGTAGGGGTCTGTGGGCAGGAGAGGACTCCGCTGGTAATCGTTAACGGAAACTTGACAGCTCAGCGTTACATGGATAACATTCTTCGTCCAGTTGTCCTACCATTTCTCCAACAGCAGCCACGTGGTGTCATTTATAAGCATGACAACGCTAGCGCCCATACAGCCAGAATTGCCACTAACTTCCTCGCAACCAACAACGTCAACGTCCTGCCGTGGCCTGAACGCTCACCCGACATGTCCCCCATAGAACACCTCTGGGACTTGATGGATCGTCGTGTTCGACAACGACCACACTCTCCAACCAACCGGCAAGAACTGATCTTTGCCCTCCAAGGAGAATGGCGTCAAATCCCACGTGACCTCATCAGACGACTGACTTTTTCTGTGCGTCGAAGAGTTTTTGCGTGTATTGAGGCATTTGGTAGTCACACACGCCACTTAGGACTTGTTATTGAACGTGAGCGATTGTTTATGTACTCTGCCTATTGTCAATGATTCTGAAAGCTCGAGTTTTGTAGCACACCCAACTTTGGGGGGCTCTGACGTCATTCTCGGTCGCGGTATGATTGTCATCTTCAGTGTTGATTATGTTGATATATGGATCTTCTCAATACACTTTACTTCATGCATGTATGTTTTGATGTTTTTGAGCAAGAGTGATTTCAAACTCTGGTAAAGTTTCTTTTGGACGTCAGTTTACATTATCTATTCCTGAAACATTTACCAGAACCTTGTTTAGGAACCTTGTTGAATATATTTGATGACATTTGGACCTCTGGTACATTTCCTTCATCATGGCGTGATGCCATCGTTGTTCCCATACCAAAACCTGGACGTGATCATACCGATCCCTCAAACTACCGACCCATTTCATTGACCAGCTGCGTTTGCAAAACCATGGAACGCATGATCAACAATAGACTGACATGGTACTTGGAATCCAATAAT